GATGGGGGCCCCAGACTTGGATGTAGTACTCCAGGTGGGCTCTCACCAGAGCAGAGCACAGAGACAGAATCTCCTCCCTTGACCTGCTGCCAACTCTGCTTTTGACAAAACCTCTACTAAATCTCTATGCCTGCAAACAGGAAATCCTGCTTTTCAAATTCATAAAATCCAGCTCTTTAGTTTGTGGCACAGATTTTAAACTAACATGCTGTTTGATTTCTCTTAACACGACTGGACCCATGAAGTGTGCATGCATGTCGGTGTGTCCCTCTTGTACCCATTTCTACCGCATTTCACATTTCTGTCAATAGAGCCTCCAATATTTGAATCCACTGATAGAACAGATGCAGTAATTGCAAACAGCTGTAAAGTATTACTCATCTTGCTAATCAAAATGACTTTCTGCTAAATAAACCATGAAAAAAGCTTTTCCACCATCAGTGAAGTGGAGTGGAAATGATACAGACTGTAAAGAGTCCACCATGAAAGTAAAATCAACAGATCAAGTGTTCTTACAGCAGTGATTCTACCTGCTAATGCACATTTCCAAAATTGTTATAGAAATTTCACTATGTTTAGGAAAATGAATTTGTGTAACAACACAAATGTTCCTCCAGGTATTTTACATGATACCTCCAGATACACAGAGCCTTGAAGAACTGCTTTATGCTTTCTCAAGATTCATAATCTGAGGGGAGATAATTGCTCCATATGGTTTTGCTAGATGTTCATTACATCCTATACTATCTTATTTAAAAAAACCAAACAACTCAGAGTACTATATATCCACATCAAATATGACAAAAGGACTGTTTCTGAGCTTATGGGAAGCACAGAAGAGGCTGGCAAATCTCCTCCAAACAAGTTTGAGGAAAAAAAAAATCACTCCGAAGTCAAACTCATGTCTGAGAACTCTAGTCTTTCATTAGTCTGTCCCCTAATGAAAAAGCTCCTTTTCTAGCTCATTGTGCTTCAGTTATCCTATTTTCTAAGTCATATTCTTTAATTCTTAAAAATGCTATTAGAAAAGATATCATCTCTGGTTATATACTCTTCCTCTATTCCCTTATGCCACTTAAGCACTTATTGCTGTGGGCCACTCCAGTATAAAACACTCCAGAGGAAACAACGTAGCCCTGAGTTATTTCTCTCACTTCTTTGGGTCACACTGAATTAGGAAGTAAGCAATCTTCTTCCACAGCTTTCTGGTACCATAAATGATTTGCTGGGAACCTCAGCTCTTCTATTATGAAAAGTAACTAGAATTTAAAAGGCATATAAATTACAGATGTGCTAATTTTGTGCAGCATGATGAACTTCCTACTACCAAGTCTATATATCTGCAGAGAGGGGAAGAAGAGGGAAAAGTAAATGAGACACATATCTGATTATAGCACAGGAGCAGAAAGAGTAAATCTACTTCCTCTCTGAAACACTTTGTATTCTCCAGCACTGGATGCAGTCTCCACCAAAGGACTAGGCAAGCTCTCTAGATCAGTTCCCTTTCTGCTCCAGTTTTTACTGTTTTTCTCTCCTCAGGTCTTTTTTCTTTGCCTTGAATCTTTTGTACTCTCACAGTCATCTATCCCCATTTAGTGCCACGGCTGCAGCAGTGTGACCTGCTGTCACACCCAAGAAACCCCAGGAGAAACACTGCACAACTTCGAACCACAGCATCTCTGCCACAAACAAAAGAAACCATAACAGGAGAGCTCAAGGTCACTGTCTAGGCTAACATAGTCTACAGTGACATAATCCTCTCTATTAAAAGGGTCATTGTAAGACTATGATAGAATAAACTGATTTCTCCCATGATAATCCACTTCTTGAGGATCAGAGAAAGCATCAGAAGAGCTGCGTACAAAGTCTTCACCAAATTACTCTGTGACACACTCATTTCTCCTTCCTGCTCTGCCCACTTTCCAAATAGTTCTTTGATTTTTGAACAAGAAATGCAAATGGGGAATCAGACACTGCTTTATCAAAAGCCGCATCCTTCTCATAGAGCACATAGTGTACGGAGGACATTTAAGGTATGTCAGCAGCAGTGAATGAGGCTCAGATACCTCCACATCTTCAACTCCCCTCAAACTCTTGGTAGCAGCATGAAGAATTTTCCCTTACACATGGACATTTCCATGCTACTTGCGGTTGCACCATTTGTGGTTTTCACAGCTAGTGAGTGCATCTTCTCACAATTCCTGGTGGTAGCAGTAGGCCTATTTTACAAATAAAAAGAAGGCTACAAAGACCTTTCTGGGTGAGTGAATTGCATTGCAGTCACCATAAAATCCCTCTCAAAGAACTGAAACTGCACCTTAAATATATTAACTGCTTGCCCTTGATATCCCAGATGAACCCTGCTCATTCCAAGCCTACATTTATCCATGCTTTCTTTAGTCAAAGGCAACAAGACTTAGAATCATACAGCTTATTTTTCCAGGCAGCAACGCAGCAGAGCCAGGCCTGAATCTCAGCCTCTCAAGAAGCAGCAGGTTTCAGAGCTTTTTATCATCTGCCCTCATGCAGGTTTTCAAGAAAGCCACATACAACTCTCAAATGTCAGTACACAGTTTCTAAGTCAGTGTGCAGCAGTGTGGGGTAATTTCTTTTTACCAGTTTCTCTCCATCTACAACTCTCAAAAAAGGCACTGTGGCCCTTTTCTCTGCCCATTAAATTATACCTTTCACTCTGCAGCCTCTAAGCAGCCTTCTGTTGTTCTGAAAAAAAATTTGCAAACTCCATTTCTCACACCTTACAACTCCTTTCATGGTAATATCCCCACCACAGGGCCTCATTCAGGTGGTGTTCCAAATCCAGAAATTTCCTCCCTCAGAGTTTGGGCTTCTCCTACTAGAAATTTTCAGAATGTAACATCCACCTCAAAGTGTGAGAATTGAAGGAATAAACTCAGACCACGGAGTAATGTGAGATGATAATTCTAAGAGAGGCTAAAAAGCAGGAGTGGAGTTTGTTCCTGAAACAGAAATAGGGAGCAGAAAAATGAAAGGAATTTCTGGGGAAGCATTTCCTTTGGGAAAAAAACCCAAAAGCTATAACACATTTCAAAGTGCTTTTGTCTCCTCTTACTGACACTGAGAGCCCAAACCAGACTGTAAGAAACACAAGGACAGTCAGAATAAGACTGTGGTGGTCTTCATTTAGGAAGAGCTTCCTTACTGTAGGAAGGAGCTTCCTTACTGTAGCCCCCCCAACTTTCCTAAACTGAACAAGAAGCAAACCCTACACACTACCAGCATAGCACCCAAGAAAAAAAGATTATAAGATATGCCCTTGATAGTCCATTAGCAATATTTGTGCTCATTACCAGTGAGATGTGTTTCACTGAAAGAGCCACTTGGGCAGGAGGGGCACTTGAGGTAATTAAGAATGTATTTACATTTTATAGAGCCATTGATGCCTTTATGTCCAAGGAACCCACATTAGAAGTGTGCTCAAGGTATTTTCCTATCAATAAATATTAAAATGGTTAATCTGCACTTGGTCTGCTAGCTACCTGCCATGGCTGCAAGCTGTTAGCAAGCAGTAAAAAGCAGACAAAAGAATCTGTCAGACAAGAAACCAATCTTCCAATCTATTTCTTTTTTCTGGGTAAGTTTCCATTTACTCACTGTCTTATTTTCATGAATGAAAGATAGAATAAAAAAATTGGCAAGAGTCTCAAATTTATAACTGTAAGAAATAAAATGAGCTCTTGATTTAAGTGCACTTTTAACTAAAAAAAATTAGTTTAGAGTGATCTTTTATTAACTGAATTCTCAAACATTTCCCTGTTCTTCTGAAATCATCTTCAAGTGCAAAACAGATCCAATATTATGTGTCCATTTACTTAAGTTCTGCTTGTGTCTATTCTTCCTGCTGTCCCAGAGTGTTCCTGCTAGACACAAATCCAGAAACAATAAACGGTAATCTAAACTCATCACAAAATCACCTTAAGAAATGCAGAAAGTAACAGGAATTAATCAGCTGAACAGGCAGTCTTCCATTGCAACCCTTGTTATTTAGACAAGTGTAGCTAATATACATAATGTAGCCATAAATAATTAAGTAAAATAAATTACAGCCCAACAAAGTCCACATTAAACAAGACAGGCCTCTCTGAAAGCCATGCGGGACTTACTATCTGAAGATCAGAGTAAAAAATGAAAGAGCATGGCTCGCATGATCTGTCTGTTGCTCTAATTTTTAAAGATGATACCTAATCATTGTAGAAACTCGTGCCTAAGAGAGCTGGACTATGCTAGAACTGATCTGAGTCATAAAGCAGGATGAAAATGAAAAATGAAAAAGAAATGAGTGTGTACATTTTGCATCATGCTCATGTGGTAACTCTCATTGTCATGACTCACAAACCCAACAAAAAGAAGAAACTCCACCTAGAGCCGTAAATTCTAGTCAGCCTAATTATTTCACGTGTTGCAGCCTGACTTTAGTTATTCAGAGGAGAGAAAGGCAGATCCCTGATGCACCCTTCCATAGTGCTGGACATGGTGAAAATAATAAATTGGTCATTGGGAAACACTATGTTTCCTGGATAAAGAACAGCATATTTCATACTCTTGTCTCATAGCTGCCTCTTGATGGCAGTAAATGGTTTTGCCATAGCTGTCATATCTCAGCAGAGAAGTCCTGCAAGAAGAGTCTACTTCCACTTACTTTTACAACACCTTTCCTCCATGGCTGCTGACGTCCCATACCCTCCTGGCTTGCAAGTTGCAACAAACAGCTTTATAATTTGTCAGTTTTTAAAGACCACTGCGAGCCTTTTGCTGAAAACCATCATGACACACTGACCTAAACCTACAGGTAAGTCAGTAGTTTGGAAATTATTCTGTTTTCCCCAGATAATTGCCCTGGGTCCCAGGAGTGGAGATGTGGCATTTCCAGTGCATCAGAGTGACTTCCAGGGGAATTACATCAGGTTTTGGTGTTGCTCCCCCAAGCACTTCAAAATCTTAAAATTAAAAAAAAAAAGTACCTTTTGATGCTCCCATGTCTATTAAAATGAAAGCTCAGCAACATCTCAATTCCTCTATCCAGAATAGGCTTTGTGGCCAATGGAGTAGAGGAATCAATGTCTCTTCCTTTTTCCATAGTAAGATCAGACTCCCACATCCTACAGGTTTGGATTTTTTCCCTTCAATTAGTCTGAGAAGAATTGTAAAGAGAAGTGCAGCTCTTGCTGAAGTCACTGACTGAAAATCTGAGCCTTGATATCTCAGTGTCTTGAAAAGGACCTGCATGCAGAGAGGAAAGGAATAATGATTAACAAACTGCCTTCTAAACGTAGGAACTCTCACCCAAAAATGGAGTATTGGTGCCTGCTTGAACTGCTGCCCAGCTCCTGTCCAGTTTATTTCCTATCTGGTTAGAGAGAAGAACACAATTAGTACAATGAACATGGTGCTTTGGAAAGATTTTTCATCCAAGTAAATGATCTTGCACTAATAACAAATGTTTGATGATAATTCAGGACTGCACCGGGCCAAGTAGGTTCATCCCACAGTAAGAGGTAATATGGAGATAACTCACCCCTAGCAAGAGGATGGAAAAACATTTCTGAGCACGCATTCACCATTACCCATTTTGGACAGATGCAGAAACAACTTTCTTGTATCTGCCAGTTCTGCTGGTCAGCAATGCTGCATGGATGCAGCAGGAACTTGACTACATCTAGCAAAAATCTTGGCACATTCCAAAGCTCCTGAAGTGCTCCTTGCTCTGTGGCCATGGGTAGTAGGAAAGCACTCCATATTGTACACATTGACTATGTGCATCAAGAGTCCTGCACTCAGGATTGAATGTGCAATCTCCCCAAAGTTTAACTGAAGAAACCCTTCAGGCCTCTGAACCCACTGCCAGCAGCAAGCACGGCTGGATCAATACCCTGTCCAGTGCTTTACATGTCATGACAGTGGCTACTGAAAATTACTAACAAAAGAACAGTTATTTTGGAGGCTGGAGACTATTTGTCAAGGGGTAGTGATGAACTAGGGTCGAATTGGGTTGGGAGAGAACTAGTGGGTGAAGCAGCCACTTTTAGTATGGGTAACTCTTGCTATAGTTTCTGAAGCTTGTCTTTATTCTATCTAATAAGTCATAGTATGGCATGGGTGAAGATTCTTACAGAATGTATTTTTCTAAGTACGGTAAAACTGTCAGACTATCTGCCAGAATTTATTTCTGATTTGTTATGAGGTTCAAGAAAACCTACCAACCAAATATTCAAGACATAGCTCTGTCAAAAGACATTTACATTACCCATAAGCATTTCAATTATACACACCAGGCAGAACTGTAAATTGTAAGATATGCATAGATAAATCAGATAATATGTGGCAAAGAAGGCATACAGCAGCAATATTAGCTTGCATATCAGAATCTTAAAAAGCAGACACAATTAAGAGGCAGGACAAAAAATAAATACCTTGTGAACCTTTCAAAAGGCCAATCACATTGTCCTTATTTTAATATTGTTTAACAGTAACACTTAATAAGGGGAACATCATGATTGTGTGAACTAAATTTTCAGTCATAATGAATGCTACAAATTTAACCTCCCAAGTTTAAATAGGGTACAATGCCTTGGGAGAGATGCAAGAGAAATTATTTGATAAAGGTGATGGTTTTTCACACCTGAAAATAATGTTTTTCTTTCAGGCTCTCTTGATCAACAGTCTGTAGCCACACATTAAAGACAGAATCTCAAGATTTATGGTGTATACTTGTCACTACTTGCATAACTTACTATGGATAGAGGATCACAGAGATTTTGAACATAATTTCCTACACTCCAGGAGATTAAATAGACTACATTTGAAGAAGGCAAGAAGCAACTATGGTCCCTGGATAGCAGAAAGTAAACTTCAACCAGTTTCTGCATCGTTTATTCAAGAAGTATAGTCTTGTCTCCTACATTTAGGCATAAACATCCTGTGCAGGAAGCATGTGTATTTGATTTAAACAATTAATTGCATGGGAGTGGATTTCTATTACGGCTTTCCTGGCACAAACTAAAATCATTACATAAATCAGCTGGAGAATGACAATATTACCTATATAAAGATTGATCGAACATTCACAGCTAGAGTTTGTTCTTTTCCCCATACTCATCAATATAGAAGCAGCTGTGATCTGAAAGCTTTTCTGGGGTAAAAGGCAACACTAAAGAGCATGCTGGAAGAAAACAATCACCATATCAGAGCTATTCCCCAGATCACTGTTCAGTTCTATAGTTCCTTCTTCATCCATCATGCTTTCTCTGATTGCTATTCATTTCCTTATTTAATGAATATTGTAATTAATACAACACACTTAAAGATGCACTGCAGATATTTTTTTTTTAAATTATGCTTACCATGATATATCCTGAGAGGGAATATTAGCAGCTCTATTAAGTGATGCTCTCTTGTTACCATGATAAATGTGTATTCAGTGATAGATTTAATGTGAAAGCCAGTGAACATAACTCACCAACAAACCTAAATCATGTATCATCTATTTGAAAACTGTCATCTTTTTCTAACAGATAGGAAGTGTTTTCCTGGGGAATCTGTTGCTTGTTATACTCTGCTCATCAGAGGTACTAGTGACATAGTAGCATTTCCTATAACAAAGGAAAAATATAGTCATATCCAAAATTCACCCAAAGAGGGAATATCTTTGTTGGCTTCAGTGGTCACTAATGAAGACACTTGGACTGTATAAAGCCAAAGTATTTGTCACTTTTAAATGATTTAACTGTTTTCTTTGCTTATTATATACATGTACTCTTATGTTAAAGCCCTGAATCTTATGCTGGTAAGTATAGGGTCAAGGGCACTGGTCCTACTGTAAGTGGCAGGCAAGCACTTGTTTTGAACAGTCAGTGGTATTTAGAGATTGTCTGGTTTCTGTTCTGAAAAAAAAACCACCACAAAACACCAAAAACAAAACCCTGAAGGAATAAACAAGGAGTTTTATCCAGATCAAGAAATCTTCTGTTTGGAGTATCTGGAATGGTTATCTCTGAAATGGTTCTTGCATTTTCTTTTTTTTTTCAGTTGTTTTGGGTTTTTTTAAGTTTAGTATTTTTTAAGCCTGTATTTGAAAATTTGTTTTAAAAATGCTCTCCAACACTGGAATTTTTAGTTTTGAGAATATTGGAACAAAAATTTTTGATTATTGCCCTTACCGACGTTGAATACTATTCACATTCTTTCTTTCCCATATAAGATTTTGATTTGGCTGCCATTTTCCAAAGAAATAGCAGGGGGAAAAAATTGTGCCCTGATTTAGTACAGACCTCAGCATGCCATTGGATCTTTTTTCAAGGAGGTTGGCGTTCTTAGAGGAACAGAAACTGGGGCACTGGGGATTCTCCTGCCTATTTCCCCGATAAAGCATAGGTGACATATTTATTTTAAGATCTGGATCCCTCTCATAAGGTCATTTAAGCTCCCTCACAGCTTGCTCACTGGAGGTACAAAAAGAATGAACTGCCTGAAGCTGACCCAGAGTATAGGTTGATAAACACATGTCTTTCTTTTCTTGCTGAGCACCTGTTCATGAGCACCATACAGCTCCCACAGCCACACTACAATTTGAAACACAAGGAATTCCTGGGATAACAAATTATGGAGTAGTATTGTGTTACCTACACCAACCATACCAGTCCTATACCCTACTCTTTGCCTCCCTTTGCACTGTAAGAAATAGCATATAATACCCACTGCCAGCAGTGTGGAAGAAGGGCTGAAAATGGATTTCTACGAGTTCAGGATTCAACAACTTCTGTCTGCTGAATTGCTGGAGTAGTGCTGTTCTGTGCATGGAGAGTCTGGGGATCTTTGGAGAGGGGCGTGTGAGGGATGGTATTGGGCTGGTTGGTGCCTTTGTTCCCAGACAGCAGATGAGAAGCAGATGTGTTCCTTCCCCAAACAACGAACATTAGGAAGAAGCTCCTTGGCTTGCACAAAGGCAGAGATCTGACTCTTGAGAGTCTACTAGTGAATTTAAAAAGAGAGAAAATAATGACAGATTACAGTGTTGTGCTTTTAAACTCAGTCTTCAGTACTCCCTCTCCCAGTGCCTATATGTGTCAGACCCAGAGACAGTCTTGCTCAATAAATGTGTTAATAGTCTCTGTTGAAGACAGTCAATGCCAGATATGCTCCTGATTTAATTGAAGACTTAGAGTACCAGGACATTTAATTTCCTTCTATAAATGATAGTTATGACTATATGACTAAATGACTTTTGGTCATTTTTAGTTCTTCAAGTGAAAGAAATAATGAGCCTGTGAGTAGATTTTATGTCTAGTCCTGAGGGTTTGACTCTAGCAGAGCTCCTGCTGTCCTTGATGACTGGAGGGTTGCTGTGCATGTAAGACCCTCAGAATCTGGATCAGTACACTTAAGAATGTGCAAAACTGGTACAACATGCCAGTTGATCAGAAAAGGTGGATCAGAGCTATTTTCGTCATTAAGGAACCGGAGCTGCCCTATTTTAGTGCTTGTTATAAGAGCTATTTTTACATGTCAGAGTCTGGATAAGAAATATCTGAAAAATATGATTTTCAATCAGTGTGAAATACTTCCTTAAAATTCCTTAAGTTGGTGATGCACACCCTCCAGGCACCTTTGAAAATGTTGGGGAGAAATTTGCCTCTATTGAAGTCAGTGAGAGTTTTACTACTGAGCTCAATTGTGCTGCATCTTGCAGCTGTCTACTGACTTCAGTCACTGAGTTCTCTGGTTGGCTGGCTTATTTAAAAGGTGCAGGAGGAAAAAGACTGTCTAAAAACAATTTTTCCACCAACAAGATGATTACTGACTTATTTTCCATTGTAAACCATGCAAAAGTGTCACAACTCAGCAAAAGGAGTGTGTTCATGCATTATTTCTAACATTCTTCATATTTATAATATATATACAACAGAACAGGTTTGCAATTTGACCTTTCTCTGATATTCTAGTGATTTTATCTCATTAAGGGGTAAGGATAAACATAATAAAAGATCTTTTGTACAGGAATGTGCCTGTAATATTCTACCTAACAGCCCAAATCACCACACCTTGTAACAGTAGCATTACTGTGTCTAGGTTACATCTACTGCTGAACAAAG